TCTCAGGGAAGAACATCAGAGGCCAGGATTCATGTAGACGCATGCTCTTTAATATGTAGCTTTTTGAAAAAAAGTGATTTAAGAATTTCAGAAAATCTGATAGGATTCGAGTCAACTTTGCTCTTAAATACTTGATACTTTCCTGTAGATCCTATTTTATGTATCACCTATCATCAAATTCTGTCTGTAATTGACCAGTTTGAGTCACGTCAAAATATTGTCATAGAAGATCCACAGCTCTGCTTCGTGGGATTATGTTTTTTTTTTGTTTTGTTTTTTTGTTTGTTTATTTTCCGGTCAAAATATCTTGGAAGTCTCTAATTAGAAACCTTGTAAATGAAAAGATGCTTGTTTTCAAATAAACTTGTCAGTCCATCAATGGATACATCTCATAAACAGCAGATAACTGCACCAATCTTAAAAATCCTCTCCCTAAAACATGGCAATTCTCAATCTCTAGTTTGTCCAAACAAGTCTTTAATAATTACTGTACTACTAAAGCAAGTCTTCAGTCTGCCTGATTCCCTGCCGGCTCTATATCAAAGACTATGTTCTTTCACTGCAACCTGAAGTCACCCAAATCCGATTTTTTGGCCCACATGTAACCTGGATCTGATCTTTTCATGGCAGTCTGAACAACACAGATCCGATTTTTTCCTATCCGACCCAGGCCACTTGGCTTTGTGGTCCTGGATCCGATACGAATCTGATCTACCATAAACCTAAACCTCTTGCATTTTCATGTATTGTTTTCATTCCACTTTTGTAACACATTTTGTTGGCCTATCAAATAGAATTTTTGCTACTTCTGCAACAGGATGAACAAAAAGTTGTACTGTAGCAATCCTGTAGTGTAGCATGAATACTTTGCAAGAAACTGTACCTAAAATTAAAAATCTGTTTGACAATAAGGTCAAAGACCTTTCTGACAATCAGCTGAAAATGAGGAAACGAGCACTAGCACAGACTGACAAGCCTTAAGTTATGCCTGTGGTACTGTCCTTCAAGCTTCTCTGTGACCATGTCAAATTAGTTTGGTGCCACTTATCATTTCACTGTTATTCAGCTTTACTACCAGTGGCTTATAAATTTAGTTCAGTATTGTTTGGAGGTTGCCGACAGTTCTTGACAGTTGAAAAATGATGCCTCACCTCTTCCTTTGGTTCATTTGTTAATAGCCTGGCTTCTGGCCAAATACTACTTCACCTGCCAGACGTTCAGAAAGAGTCTTTCTTTCCCTCCTGCCGAACTGTTTGCCTCAGAATCTACAAAGTTACTGACTTGCAAATTTCTACAAGTGAGAGCTTTTAGAGATATTTACCTTTGGATAATTGCTCCAGGGTAAAAAAGTAAAGGAGCTTTAAGTTTGGGAGTTAACCCATTTAGGCCGGGAAAGCATTACCGCATTTCTACCATTCAAGCCGGGGGCGCTGTTGCGTAATTCTACCATTGACGCCGGGAGAGCATATAAGTCTAGCAAGAAGAAATAAGTTTTTTCAAGCAAACATGGAGGAGTTTGACAGAGAAGAGTTGTCGGAAGGCAGTGATTTTGAGGAGTGTGTCGGCTTTGCTGACGGTATAGATGAAAATGATGACTTTGAACGCGCTGAACCAATCGAACTACCACCGCAATGCACGGAGTGTTTTCAACCGCACACCTGGAGTGAAAGTTGATTTGCCTGCAGACGCCACACCGCTGCAGGCATTTGAGCATATTTTTAATGAAGAACTTTGGATGCATCTTGTTACCGAGATGAATAGGTACAGTGACCAAACAAACCAAACTCCAACAAGAGCAAAGATGGCAAAGTGGTCACCCGTGACTGTGACGGAGATGAAGACATTTATTGGGCTGTGTATGGGCATGGGACTTCTTGTGTTGCCAGTACGAAGAGATTATTGGCGACAGAGTAAACCTCTCTTCAGGACGCAGTTCCCCCAAAATATGTCCCGGGACAGATTTGTGGCCATCTGGAGGTAAGTTGTATGCAATTTATAACAGACATATACATTATTATGCATAATAATACTGTTAATAAGTAATCATCAGATAGTTATTTATGTAATGTTTGTTCTTTATTTTAAAAACGTTTTATATTGCACATTCTCAATGAAGACTTGATCACATATGGAAAAAATAAAAGGTTGAATTTTTTTATTTTTTTATTACTGCTTTTCACTTTTTTTTGTGAAGAATTTCAAAGATAAAATATATTTTGAGTTCTATCTGCTACAGAAGCTGAGATATCAATAATTTACTAGGCGTTGACACAGTTGCTGAATTTACAGGGAAAACTTCAGGTTTTAGGGGTATTTTTTAAAATCGGCCATAGGTTTTTAAGGTGTTTTTTCCAGGCGTTTTAGGCCTAAATGGGTTAACCGACAAAGTTACTGCATAGACCTTTAATAAACTTTGATATTGGTATCTCTCCCTTAATAATGACTTAATATGTAAATACTGTCATTAAGGTATTTTAGGCTTTAGCTGATCAAAATAAAAGCATTAAAGAAGTTGAAAGACAAATAATGAAATTGGTCTGCATAAGACATGCAAACATAAAATACAAAACTGCAAACTTTTTTTTGGAAGCCAGCCAGTGCACATGTAAAACACTGTAGAGGAAATGATGAATCTTTGTCTTCAAGGGAAAAGAGTAAAGGAAGTGGGAACATTTCTTGAATAAAGTCAAACAGCTTGTGGAAAAATCTAATGGAATCTAATAAAAACTTGTGTAATTTAATAATAAAAAAGTGCACTTATTGCATTATGTGTTGGTGGTGACAAACTGCCTTTTGAAATTCATTTTTTATTGAAACAAAAAGTGTTTAGAGTAGACTCTGCAGAGGAAAAGGGCTTTTGGTTTAGCTCTAATAACTAGTAATGGAGATAAACTAATAATTATCAATATCTATCTAAATTAATTACAGGAATTAATTATTTCTGTAACAAATAGCAAAGTGAACCCATAATTTGAACCGGACATAAAAGAACTTTTAAAAATTGATTGAAATCTGTGATCGTAAATCAACAGGAAGCCCCCGGCAGCAAGATCAGGAACCTCTGAAGGAAGAGAGATGGTTTAGTGTCTGGTCAGAAACCTGTGGGCAAGGTAAAGCTCAAGGGTGAAGCCTCTCACCATCATAGGAGAGTGGCAATGACAGTAGGCCTTTGACAGCAGCGTGACGTCAATGTGGGTCTAAAGGGCTGTGAATGGGAATTTGGGGTTTGAAATAAAGGTCGGTGATGAATCGGTGATAAGGGAACAGAAACTGGGTTGAAGCTATGCAAACCGATACAGGTAAATGGTAAATGGCATGTACTTATATAGCGCCTTTATTCAAGCCAGGAGACTTGACCAAAGGGCTTTACACTACATTCATTCACCCATTCACGCACACACTCACGGTGGCAAGCTACATTGTAGCCACAGCTGCCCTGGGGCTCACTGACAGAAGCTGCCGTACACTGGCGCCACCAGGCCCTCTGACCACCATCCGTAGACAATGCAGGTGAAGTGTCTTCAACTTCAATGAAAGTCGGTGTCAGGGCTTGAACCGTCAACCCTTCGATTTCAGGGCAAACTCCCACATCCAACGCCACTGTCGCCCCCTGTTGCCCTTGGGTGACAAGACCCAAGGGCAAGGGTTGGTAGTTGGGGTACAAAAATGAGGCTTAACACAGGTAGAGAAGATTTAAGGGAAACAGCAGCAGGTGGCGGTCAGGAGCCAGAAACAAGTTTAATGTCCAGAAATTAAATCACCAGGTGAACTTCTGACATGGGCGAGACATAACAGGTAAATTCAGGAGGCAGAATCCAGATCGACAGTGGGCAGGAAGGCAGGCAAGGAAGGAGTGCTGGATATTCACTTCCTCAAGACTTTTGATAATCATGTGCTTTGTCAGCCTGAGAACAGAATGTAAAGCCAGGTAAACAGGTGAGGTGAATGAGGCATGATTGGTGTGCTGGCAGAGGAGACACAGGTGAAAACAATGATCTGTTGCTTCAGCAAGGAGAGGATAAGAAGCAGACTGCAGTAGAATATTAACAATTTCCTTTCACCTTTAAAGACAATATTAGCAAATAAGGAAGCAAGAATGCTTAGTTGGGATAGAGACAAAAATATTTTTTTATCAATTGAAATATAGTTTATTAGAAAAGCCTGTAGGAATTGGTTAAGCAAGTTTAATATCAGTTTTTTTTTTATATAACCTTAGTAGCTTCCAGTGTGTCAGTGTTCATCAACCAATCACAAGAGAAAAAAACAAATTAAATGTAACTGCAAGACTTTCTGATTTTTGTCTGAAACACTTTACAACAAAAATAAAAAATTATAGAAAATATTTTAAAAATTTATCAATTCTAAATTGCAACAATAAAATCATTCACACAAAATTGTCTTGGCTGATTCAGGCATGACTAGTCTTTTCAGCATGGCATTTCTTGAGGAAATATACTCATTAAAATTGCTGGTGAAGATTCTCAGCCATCCAGGTCATAAGTCATTGACTAAGCTTCCTGGATGGGAAGTGAAATGTCCTCAAACTTGGAAAGAAAGTCCAGTGGATTAATTTTTATCTTTATTTTTTTTAAATATTGATTAAAAGGTTGTGAAGTCATCACATTTTACAGTTAGTTGGGAGGAAAGAAGCTCTTGTATGTGATGGGTCAAATCCAGTGTGATGGGCTGCTCTCATAAAGAATGATTTAGACTTGAAAAAAAAAAAGAATCTGCTGTGTCATGGTATGAAAAAAAGAGTTAGCCTGATCCAGCAGGAACATTAATAGATTTTAAAATAATGTCATGTAGTATGCTAAATAATTTGATAGTAAATGTGTATTTTAAGATGACTGACATAACTGGACAGAAATAAGACAAGCAAAGAAGCACAATCAAAATGATGAGAAATTGCATTAGAAATGCGTGCTTTACCAAAAAGATTAAAGCTTTAGGGCATCCAGCTGATTAATGAGTTATGTCCTGTTTTTATTGTCCTCCAGCAAAGATCCAGTACCAGCCAGCCCTGCCCTGCATGAGAGAATTCCTCACACAGAACATGCTTGTTGGCCATTTGACGAAGTTTATCGTTACGTATAAGACTGTGAGTAGCAGCTGATAATTCAACCGCTTTACTGTTACAGGTATGAAAAATGTTTTTATCTAGGTTTGGCTGGTAGTAAGGTATTCCTTGTTTTTCTTTTTCGTATTTGATACCTAAGGTTTGCGTCTGACACCTTTTGCATAATTTAATGGTAAAAACTTTGCTCAAAATCCTATTGTACACAATCAGATATACCTGATAACAGAGGGAAGAAGACTACACAAAAAAATCTTGACTTGTCGCATAGTAATAAATTATTAATATCAAAAATGTATTTCTGTTTTTTCTTTTTACATATAAGGACAAATAAGGACTTCAAACCAAAAAAAGTAATTTTCTGTTTTCTTTTATTCTTGGATCGGGCTTTAAAGGGTTAAAAAGTACATATTTAAATAATATAAAAACAAGTCAATAATAGTCTTTAAATATCTTATTTCTCACAAATGAGACAATCAACATCCCACTTTTGCCACATCAATATACTGGCTACTTTAGAAATGATGCAATGTAGTTAAACCAAGTTTTTTATTGAAAAAAGTCACTTTGTCTTCTCAAAATCTACGCAAAAGCACAATATAAAACCAGGGATGGTTTTGTAGACAGCTATTTCTGTCATTAACAGACTTTCTATTTCTTTTTCTTCCACTGTTTGTGCTCCGTGTTTAGTCTTTTAGCATCTGTCTCTTCAGGCCCATCCCCATGGCAAGGAACTGAATAGTCCTGAATAGGTGCACATTTAATTAAATTCTGAAAATCCTTGGAGAAAATACATTGTGGTGTAAAGTGTACCTCATACTAGAGGCGTACTATTATCTCTGAAAATCAGCAGGGTTTTAATTGCTGAGAGCAATCTGATGTCTTTCTAAGCAATCTGTTATACTGGACGGCAGCTTTACTTCAATCTAAAATGAAAATGAAAGATTTTGAGATACTGCAGTTCAACACTTTTACAACTTGGAAAAAGGTTAGTCAAATATTTATTCCGGTAACTGTTTGTTTGTTTGTTGTTTTTTTAGTTTTTTTTTTTTTTTTTCTCAAGCAAATTAAAAAACTTACCATTGTCAAAAGGACAGACGTTTTGCTGTGATTATGTTATAAAACCAATATATAGCAGTAGCAAAAGGTATTTGATTATTAAAAGGCTTCAATTTAAGACTGAACATGTAGTATGGGAGTGTTAGTGCAGGGGTCACCAATTGAAAATTAGCAGGGCCCGAATATCATCAACCAGTAAAGGTGCTGAAACATTTTTAATCATAATCTGTAACTTTAAAAAGAATTTAACGCTGAAATAAAATAAGTGTTTTTATGCATCCATGTTATACACTGACTTTTTAAATAAAAAAAAATTTGTGAGAAAAAATTATTTTTTTCCATTTTAAAATCTAAAGTGTGTTTTTAAGCACAGAACAATCTTTCAGTTTGATATATAGACAATTTCCTGATTCACATATTTTTTATGGCTTAATGAGAGCAGTGGGCTTTAGGCTGCCCTGCAAGGCTTTAAACCTGGGTTTGAATGGAAACAAAGCCATTCTAAAGCACATATCAAGGTGCTCATTTTGAGCCTGGATCCATATTTATTTTTGAATATGGTCCTGGTGGAGAATACTGCTTTACAGCAGCAGGTTGAGCCAAATATACTCAAAATTTACAGGGTCATCTTTGAGCACACCATTTCACTTTCTTTCACCAATTCACCACAGTTCTGCCTGCAGTCCACACCTTCTTTCACTTTTTTAATCTTCTCCTTCTTTCCTACCGCTCGGCTTGCCGCAGGTTTACCACCTGTGTATAATGCTGCGTTCACACCGGACGCAGCAGGAGCAGCAAAATCGCATCTGCTACTTCCTTTTTGCTGCTTGTACCAGTTTAGTTCTGACGCGCTGAAGCGCTTTGCAGCTTTGCTGCTCTGGTCGAAAAGAGGGTCTGACGAAAAGAGGTTGGGCGGAGCTACCCTATAATTTACCACCAGGATAATAAAAGCGAACATATTCTGTCGGCAGGTTTCAGCATTTTAAGATAATTTAGGCATTAATAAACTGTTTCAGATGAGTGATCACTGCGCTCTGTATCATCAGCGATGTGTCTGTCTCCCTGGCATCTCCCAGATCAGCATCTCTGATTGGTTGATGCGGCGCGTCAAGCAGAAAAAGTAAAATTTTTCCATCTCGAGCAGCAGCGCATTTGCGGCGCGTCGCACGTGTCAGATGCTTAAACGCGCCCGACGCACTACGCCTGCTGCTCAAAAGGCGCTGCGGGACCTTTTGCTGCGCCTTGACGCGCGTTAACCATTGACCTTGCATGTAAACTCGCTGCTTCTGCTGTGCCTGCTGCGTCCGGTGTGAACGCAGCATAAAAGTAGCTAGCAGGAGCAGCCCTGACCGATAAAGCTCATTGGCTAATTGGCATCACGTGCAGCCTGGTCTCAGAGGCCTTCACCGTACACACAGGAGAAGCGGCGCTAGTGAAATTAGACACTGCCATTGGGCAACATGCAGTAATTTATAAATGTTTGAAATCAGGTTGGATCCGGATTAGTGAGCAGGTGGGTCCGGATCCGGACCACCTACCACTAATACTTGGCCTCTGGACTTGTCGGTTAGAGCAGTCTCTTCTGCTCTGAGAAGGTTACAAATACCCCGTCCTACAACCACACAACGGCAGCCCACTGCCCTCCAAGAGGATGGGTCAAAATGTAGAGAATGAATTTACCCATTGTGGGACAATAAAGGGATTTTTTATTATTATATTTTTATTAATTCAGTTTATTTATTTAAAGTTCAATATTAATAAAGTAATGTACAAAATACACTTAAATACACAATGACATTATCCATGTGCAGCACAAAAGAAATGCTTTATTTAAGGGCAGTTACCTGATAGCAGTGCAGAAGTGCTGTGTATAATCCATCCTAATGATGAACAGCTGCAGAGAGTCCTATTTTGCATATGTACAACTCGCATATAATTAACACAAAGTGATTTGCAGAAACATTCAGATTACAAAGTATGTCAACTCACTACTGCTATTTAAATGATAGAATGCCTTTCAATGCATCCACTCTCACTAGGTCCTCTTTTTTCATATAAGACTTAGGTGTTTTACATTTAGCTGGTAACTCAAAAAATGGTTGATATGGCCTAAAACTCCCTTATAACTTTGTGCACTTTCTGAAAGCAGCCCTGTTTTTACAGGTGCTGCATCCAGAGTCTATATATGATCCTTAATTTGAGACATCTATACTCTGAAAATGCAAAAAAACAATCATTTAACAATATTTTTTTTAAATAGAAAGAAAAAAAAACACAAAAAGAACACGCAGAGCAGTCAGACTTGTTTGAAAACAAAGTAGGGACAGATAATGGAGAGCAGTATTATCTGTAGAGTCGATCCTGTTAGCCCAGTCAAGACTCTCAATCACAGCATAACTCACTGGAAGCAACGCTGGTATTTAAAAAGAAGCAAACCCTTTATTTGCACTTGTCAAGTTTAGTTAAAACTGTCTGGAATGATTAGGGAATCCTTCTATTGCTTTTATAGGTAAAAACAAAAAGGAAAACATAATTGTAAACTAGCAGGTTGCTGTCTGAACACAAAAGCCTGGTTTGATTGAAGTGGACCTTGACTTACTGTAAGTTACTTGACGGTCAGCCAACACACTTCTTAAATGAGTTTCCTTTTGATTTGGGTGAGCTATTCAGATGCAGCCATGCATTCATTGACATAATGTCCCTTTGGAGTTCTCATTAATCTATTTTTAAATTCTTATTGATTTATTTTCTTCTATACTTGTTTTTTCTTTTGCGAAGTATGTCCAAAAAAAGGTTAAGGCCGAGGTCTATACTTCACATTTCTAAAATCATGAAGTGCAGTTTTGTCTATGGGATATAGCGCATTTGAACCTAGAGAGACTCACAGAGAAAGAGAAGCTGTAATTAGAAGAGATTATTGACATTAATGATATATATGTCATTTGGCGCTCGGACACAAGCTGAAGAGTTTGTGTTCAGAACTGATGGATGATCAGATTGATGGATTTAGGAGAGAGAGGATTAGTCTTCCCCCGGTGTCTGGACACTGATGTTGGAATAAGCCCAGGATAATTGGGATGGAGGCTCTCTCAAGATTTACTTCTCTTGCAGGAGAAGGGGTGAAGGTGGGTTGAGAGAAAGCTGGTGAGCAGGAGGCAATGTCAGGAACGACGCTTGAAGAAGGAGACCTTGTAAGCTGATTGGCCCCGGGAAGGGTGCGACACCGAGGATGATTGGCTGAGGTTTGGCAGTAGGACTGCAGCAGGTGATCCATATGAGGCTGATTAGAGTCTTCCAGATTGAATTTATACTTAAGCTTCATGACCCATGGACCAAGGTCACAGTCCTAAACATGGTTGTAGCTGTTTTGACTTCCGGCTGGTGAACCTATCTTCCCCATCACCACAAGCTCATCTCCTGTCCACTGACACTCAAGTATAGATCACTAGTTTGGTATATTTTGGTGTGACTAAATGATAATGTTGTAGTCAAGACCAGTGGTTTCGAACCCTGCTCCTAAGGGACTCCTGTCCTGCATATTTTAGGTGTTTCCTTGTTGCATCACACCAAAAAGAATAGAGTACTAACAGGCTTCTGCAGTACTTCAATGCAGAATAAGAACCCTAATTTGTATGAGGTATGCTAGAAAAGAGACATATCTAAAACATGAAGGGCAGGGGTCCCTGAGAACCATGTTTGGGAACCACTGGTCAAGACAACACCAACCAAGACCAAGGATTACCGAGAGAAGGGCAAGGCCTTTAGAGTCTCGACCGAGACTTGAGTTCTTTGTTCTTGGTCTCTGCCTCTAAAGGTCTTGGTCTTGTCTTGTTACTCCATGGTCTAGCTTCTTGTGGTCTTGACTTCAACCCTACTAAATTCTCTTTCATTTACTAGTTGAATATATGCTTTATATTAATTTGTATAATTGATTCATGTTTTACATGTCCTAAAAGTAGAGTCAA